AATATTTCATGCTTTGCCCTCCTGGGCTTCTGGCCCTGGATATTGTCCTTTTATTTAACAAAACAATGCAAGAATCTCCCTCTGCAGATTAAGAATTCCCATTTAAATCAACCAAATAACATTAGTCAGAAACAGGAATAGTCCATTCAAAATTACTTCGAAATCACAAACTTATTTGAACTTTAGTGGAACTTTTAGTTTTACAGAGTTTAGAAACTAATAAATTATGCAGCAGGGCTCATGAAAATCTACCCAAGTCTGCTTATCCAAAAGAATATCCAACATTTTGGTTTTGCAAGAAAATAAAAATAATTGTTTACACATGTTCAGGAGTCATAAGCAAGCATATAAAACTGATGGTTAAGGAGGCAAACATGTCAATAATTGCACTTTAAGAGACGASAGAGGAAAATAGGCAAGTGTGTGAGGAAAGCACAGAGCACACTGATCTGGCCTTGCTATTATATCAGATGTCACTGTTGTATTGCACCCTCCACTCAAGAGCAGCCCAGTCACTTAACAACCCAGACCCACTCTGTGTTGGTAATTTAAAACCAGAGTTTCAGAGCAGAGTCAAGGATTTGCTTCCTAGATTTTTTTGTTGTTCTTGCACATGAGATTGTGTTGATGAAGCTGATGGAAAGTCAGGGGACGCAGGTTGTGAAGAGTGGTTCTGCTGAGCTGTGAAGATGCTTTTGCAAAAGGTTTGTTGCTGCTGAAACCTGAGAGTGCGTGAAAAGGGAGAGAAGAGCTTATGTTTCAAGTCGCTGGTTTTGGAGCCAGCAGGGATCCATGCAGTGCTGGGCTCCTTGAAAAGAACAAGAGGACGCTTTCCTCCATCCTGAATTTCAGGCTGGGAGGTGATAAGGCAGAGGGGGTGTCGGGGAGGAGAGTGCTGAGTTTGCTTTGAATCCTCTGGGTACGATTAAGAGTTTCAAAGTTTTTCATGAGCACACCAACTTCTCCTCCTCTAGAAAGACCTTTCCTTCCCTTTCCTTGCATTCTATCCCTGCCTGCCAGAACTCAAGCTGAAATTCAAGGGTTTGGTGGCAGGGCTGTGCTGTCTGGTGGAGTTTGGCCCTGATGCCAAAGCGCCTGTGGCTCTTTTGGCAGCCTTGTGCCATCATCCCAGCCACTGTCTCTGATCCATAGRCACCAGCACTCACTGCGTGGCCAGTCCACTTCCTGCTGCATCTGTGCAAGCTCCCAWCTGTGGGCACAGCCACCTTTCTGATGCTTTTCGCCGGGGTCGGAGAGTGAAAATGGCTGTTCCCCTGTTCTGCGTTAGAGCAGCCTTGGGGGCTGAAGCCTGGGGGGACCCCAGCTCTGGCACGGCATTTCCCATCGTGGCTGTGCCTTTGCTCTCCGCTTGTGCGTGAGCTTGTTTCCTGCTCTGTGTTTGTGTCGCTGATGCCCTCTGCGGTGAGGCTGTGATCTGGTCAGGGCTGCGAAACACGTGGGGAATGCAAATAACAGCACATCCTACGCTCGGCTTGCTGCCATGCTCTCAGGATGCCTCGCTGTGGATGGAGCTACTGTGGGTAATTAGCTCAGGAAAGGTCTTTGCCCTTTCCAGCTATACCAACATGTTTTATCCGGCCTTCTTTAGAGATGGGGGAGCCCACAAGGACTTGGAGCTTGTCCGGAAAGGCTCTTTGTGCTGTGAATGATTCCAGCTTCCAYGGTGTTCAACAAGCGACCTCCTGGGAGTTACTCGGTCTGGTCTCAAACATCTGAAAATTATTTCGGGTGACTTCTTTGGCTCTTTGGGCAATTTTCCTTCCTCAGCTAAAATCTATGTCCCCAGTGAAGGCAGTGATGCTGGGTGTTTTTGGGCTCTGCATCAGGTGGCTGAGTGGTTGTGTTATCCCTGTCAGAGACCTCCTGCAACCGTTTAATGAGTGGATGTGGTTTATGCTCCCTGATGGAAAAATCGCTTTATATAACCTCCCGTCCAAGAGGAAAGGGAATAAAAAATTCTGAGCTAGTAAACTTTACTGCCAGCAAGATGTGGGGCCTGTTACAGCCTATTCTCCTCTTCTTTAAATGTAAATGTTCTGGATGCCCTAAAGAGCCAATTTGCACTTTACTGCAGTGCAGTGCTTTTCTCCTTAGGGTCTGGGTCAGCCTCAAGGAGATTTAAGAGGGCACCAGCTGGATTTTTAGGCTGCCAATTTTATCAGCCTGAAGCTTGTTATAATCTGTTGGAGAACATCTTTCAGGTCCATATATCTCTTTCTTCCATATCCTTCMATTTGCAGAAGGATTTGAATGAAAAACAACCCACTACTGAAAAAAACAGGAGCTGTTTTTCATGTGCGTAGCCCAACCTGCATCCAGGTTTTTGGTCCTAATATTCGCCTGGATCCCACTATAAAATTCTCTGGTCTTGCGCATCTTCTTTTGGCTTTATTGGAACACAGTACTGGAATGGTTATCCTTGGTGGTGGTTATGCTSCTGATTTATGCTGTGTTGTGCTGGGAATAAACACAGTAAATCAGAAGGAGGCAAAAGCTGTGCTCACGTGAGGCAATTTGCAGGTGGATGTTGTGCTGTTGGTGTGATGAGAAAGGAGCTRGTGTTACTTCAGTCTCACCAGCAGTGCTCCTGATGATGCTGCACCAGGAAGAGCAGGCAGGACCCAACCGCTCCCACAATATTTCGCCTTGCCACGAGCTCAGTCTGGGCCATTGGCAGTTTATTTCATCCCTCTGTGATTAATGTTCCCTGTCTAGAACAGGAGTAATAATRTGGGCTTCATCTGTCAGGACTGCAYGCTCCCAGGGCAGGGATGGCCCTGCTGGCTGTGGGTCTGGACGGGGTCCAGGAGGATGAGCCAGGATGTGACTGAGGTCCTTGGCGGTGGATGTAACTGCTAATTAGAGTGGTGAGATTAGTCACTGAAGCACAGGAGGGAAAGCCAAAATCATGTTTCYCAAATAGGAAAGGGCAATACAGGGGTATAAGCAAGTTCTTTTGAAGCCCTGAATGTGAATCACAGTGTCAAGTAAAAAATAATTAAACTTATTTTTTTTTAAATGTACTTCAAAGCATCTTTTAAGCTTCCCATTAATTCGAAGTTCTTTCTCTCAGTGCTAAATAAATCTCTTGGTTCAAAAGCACAAGTGCTAATTGGTTTCTCTGAGTATGCCTGTCTGCTTGATCAATAGGGGAAGTAGTTTTTGTTAAATATTTGCACATATAGTCACATATTGTATTGCTCAGGGAGATGGTAAATGTTTCTCAAAAGGAGACTTGTAGAATGAGGATTCCAGTAATTTTCTTGTGGCCTTTATGTCAGAGCTAATCACGCCTCCTCCCTCCATCCCTTTGCAGAAAGCAAAGCAGTTTTCCCTCGCGTGCTGCCGGCATCGAGACGAGCGGGCTGTTCAGCTGCCTGCCTGACACCCCAGCTCCAACTGCAAACTCGAGCTGCCACGAGCAGAGTTGTGCAGTTTCTGCCTTGAGCAGGGAGTGGCTGTGAGCCATGCTGCCTCCCAGTCCATTTTGGGGGGTACCTGGGATGTTGTGTGGGGTTAGTGGGGTTTGGATACACAGCCAGCTATTGGAGAGGGATAGGGCTTTCAAACTCCCTGAGTGAATGTGCACAGTCTCAGCAATTTCCTTGCAATCTCTCAATTAATTGCACTTTTACTATTTCCATGTGCCTTTGGAGTGTTGTTTACTTCCAACTTTGCAGCATTATTTCCGTGCCTCACTGCTAACTGCAATCAGTTCTTTATGCTGATGGAGTTAGGTCCCTCTCTCCCACCATTGTCTCCTTATCCTTTCTGTGCTCTCCCTCTGGCTCGGCTGAGCTGACCTCTAGAGCAAACATCAGGAACCTTCTTGTCCTACCATGGAGATTCCTCTGGGAGTGTCTGTCCCTTTGTCTCTCATCCTGAGCATCCTGGGAAAAGAGGGCTCTCTGTTGAGACAGGTGAAAGAGCTTGGCTTCTTCCAAATCCYCAGATGGGATGAACTAAGCTTCTCCTCATACATCTGGTTAGTTGGTCACCTGACCCTGAAACTCCAGGAAAAAGGCAGTGGGATTTTTTGAAGGTCTGATAAGCATCCCATGAGAAAAACCTGAGTTGAATTGGAATTTGAGTACTTCTGGGCACTGCAAGTTGTCTRCAGGTTACAAACCAGTTGCACAGTGTCACGCCTTGAGGCACAGTCGTACTCTTGAGTGCAGCCCAAGGAAGCCCCAGGATCAGTGTCCACCCCTGCTCCTACAAGTGTCCGAGGACACCARTCCTAATTACAGGAGTGTCATCACTCCTGCAGTTCGAGCAGCCTGGAGTGAGGATGCAGACCGAATGTTTATGGAGGCAAACATGATTATCTCCAATCACAGGCCTTAATGATGGTTGTTATAATGACAGCAATTGTGGGAAGGGCCTGTAATTATGTTGATTCTTCCTTTTATTGTACATATAATAATAAGCTGTTTTATCTAAGAGTACAGGGGTGCTGGGGGAAGATGGGGCATTTATTTAATTAGGGATTTTTTTCTGATTGCATGTTAGGCTAAATCCTGAAATCTTCAATTTTTCTGGAGTCAGAAGTCCCTCTTGGCTCAGTATCAGGATGCAAAGGTCCTTATCCTACCTAATTCACCAGAGCACCCACACAGGGAATGGGGCCCCAGCATGGTGTTGAGAGTCTGGCCACTTTGCAGAAAAATGCAGAGCATTCATCTAATTCCTTAATTTTCACCAAAAAAAAGTAATTGATGGGTTTGTGCTGGCTGYAGTCTGACTTGCTGAGAGGACCCCAGGGCTATCTCATAAAAAAGAAGTCACAGTGAGCGATAGATCACYGAGATGGCTGGAGCTAGCCTGACATTTTAAGACTTAATGGGTTAATAAAGTGTGTATTTTAGGTGCCTGTCACTAAGTGGGGTTTGTCCATTCCTTGCACACACTCATACCTTGTTGGCAGTACCTTTGGCCTGGCCCTGCAGTACCACTGCTGTCTTTGTCTGCTCCGTCCATCTGCCTCGGCTCAGGTTGCACTCAATGTTTATCCCCCGTAATCCAATTTAAGTTGCCGTAGAAAGCAGTGGGGATTTACAGAAAGAAAGAAAAAAATCTCACTGGGTTTGCAGAGCAGAAAAGACAGACTTTTTTTCCTTCTCTTTCTTTAGTGTAACTGCCTCTTCTCATTTCTGTTATTCTTAACATGCATTAACAGTCTGCCCTCCACCCTGGTTTTGAGCCTAGTGTGGGGGGATCCTGTGCTTGGTGGGGTCTGTATGAGGGACAGGAATTACAAAGCCTGTGCTGTGGCTGGTGTTTGCCGACAGATATTGCTTGTGTGCATCCCAATTCTGTCGGCAGCTGTGGRGTTGGTCCCCATGAGCCTGTGAAAGAGGGAAGAAGCCATATCACAGAAACCACCCATTGAAGGGCCAATGCACTAGTGAACTGTTRGAAAGGCTTTCTCCATATTTGGATGAAATTACAGTTTTCTTACTCTGCTGGAATTTTTTCACCATTGCTCTTCTTGAAAAAAAAGGGACTTCACCTCCATCCTGGCATTTACAGCCTTCAAATGTTTATATAACTCCTTGGTTGCTTTTTGTCTTTCATGTCTGCATATATTTTGGCCAATCTTTAAGCAATAGTTCTATTTCTGTCATCTTCTGTATTGTCTGATCATGACTATAGGGCAAATTATACTCTCAAAAGGTGTGCTGTGACCAAGTGAAGCATAACATGCCAAAGACACAGTGTTTAAATGTTCTGTTGGCAAAAGAAGTAAATTAGGACATATCTGTGTGATGGGAAGCGAGGGTTTGCCTATTGTTGGTACAAATTCTGCAATAACTTATCTCTCGCGGACATCGTTTAGCGTAATTGCTTTGCAAGAAACCTTTTGTGTGGTTGAGCCGGAACATTGTGCATTTGTATTTTGGTGCTTAACTTGCTCTTCATTAAGGGCTGAATAGCACCATGCTTTGCCTGTTACAGCGTGAGAGAGACCAAAGCGACAGAAGGGCACGGTGTTGCGTGCGAGAGGCAAACAGGCTCCTGCTCTGCCAAGCGGGAGAAGTGTCGGGAAGATGCCGGTGGCAATATGGTCTGAATCGGGAGCTGCTGATCCCCGCTTCACCCCCGCCGGCTGTGCTGCAAACGGGTCTGGGGCATGGCGCAGCCCCTCTCTGCCTGATTATGTGGGGAGAGGAGTGGCTTTCCAGCGCTGGTGTGCACTTCTGCTCCTGGGCTGGGAATGGCTGACAGCCCATGCTTGTGCGAGTTTTAATTGCCTGTTGCTGCACACCTGCAATGGGAAGTGAAGAGACAATCTTCAGGGGAGTACAGAGTGAAGCTGGGGTTTGACAAGCTGCTGGAGGGGTGTTCCTGCCTGTCCTCTTCACTGCAACCTCCAAAGGCAGCCTTGAAGGACTTTGCCTGTGTTTGTGCTTTTAGAAGTTGCACCTGAGGTTCTGAGAGCAAAGCCTTGGGAGGCAGAATGTGGCCATGGATTTTGTGTTTTGTGTTTCTCCTTGTAGCCCATTCAAAATGTTTCCATTATCYCCTGTTTCCTGCCATAGCAGTTTACTCTTGCTCCTGGACATGCTGCTGACTCTGTCCTACTCTCTTCATTTTAGATTTTGGCCGCTCCTCTGAGCTGGCATTCGTTGTGGAGCCTAGTGATGACATAGCTGTGCAGGAGCAGCCCTTGATCCTCTACTGCCAGGTGGAGGGCATCCAGCCCATCACCATCACATGGCGGAAGAATGGAGTGATGATTGTGGACAGTGAGAATGCCTTCATGTTGGCCAACGGGTCTCTCTACGTCTCCCGCTTCCAGAGGGTCCGGGGAGATGGTTCCTCGGATGAAGGCGAGTATGATTGCATGGCACAGAACCACTACGGGCTCTTGGTGAGCCGGAAGGCAAAGATCCAGGCAGCGAGTAAGTACGGGCACTGTCCCATCCCCACCTTGCAGGGCAATCCCACAAGGGGCTTTGTTGGGAAGCAGGAGGGCAGTGTGGTGGGTGCTTGGTTTTCATGGAGGGGGGATTAGAGAGAGGAAAGAGAAAAAACCTGGAGCTGGTGTCAAAATCTGGCTGGCATCTAATCTGTGTAGCTGTCCTAGTGTGAAAGAAGAGCTCATCCGTTTTCTTGGGGTGAAAACTAAAAACCACTTTGTAACAGTAAATGCTCTGTGTTGGTGGTGTAAGTTACATTAAAATCATGTGGTGAAGTAGTCTGTGGTTTGTGTATCTCCTGCGGTGAGTTTGGAAGCCCCTTTGCTGTACAGCACAGCTGGGCTCTGCTTGGCAGGCAGTGCTTCCCAAACCATAGGCAAAGACCTCCTGAAGGTCATGGTATCTTTYATTTTGTTATTTAATGCTGGCAGTGTAGAGGCAGCAAGGTCTTATTTACTACCCGGCGTGGCTGTGCCTTTGGGGGCAAGGCTAACAACACCAGACAGATTGTCTGATGGGGGAGCCTGSAGGAGGAGAGATGAAAATGTCAGGAGTGAATGAAATTTAAAGGTGGGGGAGGAAGAATTCTAGGGCAGGCTGTGACTTCAGCCCTGCACACTACCTGGCTTTAGCCCTTGGCGTTGCCCTGGCCAGAGTGGTTGGTCCTGTTGGGTCTCCTGATTCTCTCCTGTCAGCTCTGGTTGCTGTTGGTTTTTGTCCCAGGACTGATGACAGAGCCTGGGGGTCATGGTGGTTTCTGTACCTGTTGTGTTGGTGGCCTGCTTTGCTCACAGACTGTCTGGGGGCTCTGGGAGTGTGACCACTCATCCTTTTTGCAGTCAACCAGAAGCTGTTGTGGGGTGTAATTTCTATGTGAGTGTGGGGATGTGTGTGTGGTATGGCTGCGAGACCTGGCGGAACACTGCTTCATTAAGTTCTGCTGAAGGGTTCTTCAAATTGTTTGGGAGATGGCCTTCTGCTCKTCTTTCTGTGCAAGTCACTCACTTCTGTTGCATTTGTAAATATCACCATGATTTTTTGATGCAAAGCAGGAAAAGTCTTAGGAGAGTCTGGGCTTGAGGTCCCCTGTCTGCATTTCCCAAACTGGGGGGCCTTTTGGAGCACTGCCGCCCRCTCCCTGCAGCGCCAGGGCCGGCTGGCAGCCCACCAAGGGAACACTCCAGCCCTTGTGTATAACAATTCCCAAGTGCATGAAGTGGCCATCTGCAAACCTAGCTTTTCAGGAGTGTAAGAAGTGACATTGTCCAGGAGCCAAGGGCTTTGGGGCCGTGCCAGATTAGCAGCTGGATCTCAAACTTGTCAGTCTTGTGGTGCTAAACCTTGGAGCACTTTTGGTGAACAGCTCTGGCATTTATGAGCTGGAAGCCGACTGGTGCATGAGCACAATGCCAAACTTCTTGCACCTGTAAACTGGAGACGTGAGAGGCTGAGGCATTACCTTTGGGATTGTGGATTGTCAATAAACACTGTTATCTTGGCTCTTGCATCAATATGTATGTGATGTGCTGTCTGTCCCTGAATAGCGTCTCCTTTTGTGTCCATAGTTTCATATGAATCAATCGTGTTGAAAATGCTCTGGACTCTATTTGGTCTTCAGGCTTGGTTTGTTGCCAGCCCTGAGAAGAGGTCTGGGTGAGGCCAGCACAAACAGGGGGGCCCCCAGCCTTGATGCCACAGGTGCTTGCGGATAATGGGAATAAAACWGGATGTTGTGGCCAAATGTAACCTGCTGCTCAGGGCAAGCTCCCTTGCTGTGCCTGAGCTGCAGGAGCACACACTTGCACTTAGGACTCTGCATAATCATAGATKAAATCCTCTGAGAATGAATCACAGTTGTACCCTGAGCCCCCAAGTCTCAGGTTGGTTACACACAAGAGACAGTGATTTTCCTTSCTCCAAGTCCCAATCAGCAAGTCAAAGGAGAGGGGTAATTATCCCCATTTTAGGGACCTTTGCATGAAGGAATGGGTGCTGGCTGCCTGGAAGGGAAAAAAACCCAAGTGCTAAGCAGACCTTTGCGAAGCAGAGTAAATACTGCCGGTGGGTAAACCCTCATCCCAGTGCTGATCTCTTCTTCCCTCTGAGCCTGACATCTGAACACAAAAGCAAAGGAGAAATAAAAACCTTTCACAAACAAAAATCTTGAAAGTTGATCAAGGCCGTGCTACTGAGGAATAAAAGAGATCTGACAGARCGGAGCCCCTCGAGAGCTCTGTTGCACTTTTCGCTGTCTTCAAAGGCAGGCTGTTAGTCTCATATCACCGTTACAGACCCCGGCTTTGTATTATTGCTTGGAATATAATCTTCTTGGCTTGGAGGAATGTACATATTTGCATTCAGGAAATGTGGGCTGGATATCATATTTTTATGTTTCAAATTTACTTCAACACTTGGCATTGAGTAAAATTTAACTGGAAGAATATGGTGCTCTCAGCCGCCGTGCRTGCGGCCCTGATGGGCTCAAGGTGCTGGCAGTTTCCTCATGGAGYGGGTTCATCTTGAACCCTTCCTCCTAAAAATAAACTCATTAAATTTTTTTAATTAAATTCAGGGGTGTTTCTGTATGTTGCCATTATTAATCAAAGATACTCAGCAGAAGGAAGGGATCCTTGGCTGGTTTGTGGATTGGCTGGTCAGGTGTGAAATACATTGATAGTGTTTTTGAAGTGTAACTTTGTTTTGAACAAGCACAAGTGTGCAAGAAGCTTACGCATGACTGAGCTGAGTGTGGAGGCCCTCAGGATTTCTACCCTCTGCCTAACGCCCCGATTGGAATCCTTTCAGTTGCTGTGTCTGTTCAAACTCTGCTGTATTAGTTTAAAAGGTTTGGAATGCAACATGTTTTTATAATCTGATCAGGTTATTGAATGCAGATCTTTTCTGTCTCCCAATGACAGTTTCATAATTTTGCATTACTCTGAGCTGTCTTAATTAAAATCAGTTTCATAGTCAGTGCTCTCTGGAGGCAGCACTTGGCTGTGTTTTCACAGGTCTCTGAGGAGCCGGATTTCCCCTGTGCGTGCCAGAAGCTGAACATGCTTTGGCTCTCTATGGATGAAGATACTCTCAGAGCCATTGTAACATCCAGAGTCCACTCCTCTGGAAGGCAGCCTCCCCAGAACACAACCACCTTTCTTCTCATCACCACCCTTTGCTTGACTTGGCCTTACTTGATCTGATCATATCGTCTCAGGGCACTTCCAGCCCTTTTTGCCGATGCTGTAATTTGATGGACCTGGCTCCACATCATCATAAATCACAGCCCAGCCAGTGGAGTAAGACCCATTGATTATATCACTCAATAACAAGCAGTTACCACTAATTGGAAATCACCATCAAACTGGGTATCGGATCAGGCTCTGCACGTATCCCGCCTGAGAGTAGCAATTTTCCCTGTTTGATCTGATGCTTAAAAAAAAAAAAATAGGAAAGAGAGGAATTAAGTCAATGGTGCAATTTAGAGCCAAAGAGATTTCTTAAAGTTTGGTGAATTGGTCCTGCCCAGTATTTGAAGTACTGCAGGACCTGATAATAGCTCTGGACAGATCTGAGCTTGTAAAGACAKTTTCTTTGTCATGTCTTGCTGTAGGGTGACTGGTTTGTAGTCAAGCATAGCAGCACACATCCCTGTGCCTTTTTCTGCYCCCTGACCCCCTTTCCTTCTGCATCCTGTGTCAAATCCTGCTCCTTCATCCCACTGTGTGTGGTTGTCCATGGCACTTACCCTGCCAGCAGGAGGGCAGGATTGATAGCTTGGGCAAGGCAGATGTTGTGACTCCTCTCTGCATTGATCCCTGCAGACAGCAGCTCCTCTCACTCAGCCTGGGGACAAATATGCTGTCCCCACAAACACACTGGCCACTGTGACCTCAAGGCCAAAGGTCTTCAGGTCATCGGCAAAATATAGAAGTGGGGAGGGCTGGTGCATATGCAAACTGGYAGGTTGGTTTCCCTGCCAAGCTGTGTGGCTAGGGGAGGAGGTTGGGAATCACAGGGATTTTAAAGCAGCAAAGATCTTCTCATCGTTTCAGCTCCTCTGCACAGAATATATTCAGGGTTTAACCTGCAGCCCCCTTTCCAGGCTCTGGGGTGGTGGGAAGAGCTGCTGAGCCCAAATAATGGCAGCATTTATAAGAGTGTAGAGACAAGAAGGAAGTCTAAAAGGATTAGGGAGAGACAAAGGGGGCTGATTATTTTATGGGTCACAATACAAGGCATTAGAGTGAGATCACAAAGGGATGTAATTACAAAAGAAGGCCATACTGGGGGGGATCAAACCAGGATTAGAGTGGGAAATGTTTTTACACAGTTTTGTTCCACTCATTATGAAGTTAGCATTTTAAATTAAGGTTTAAATAAGGTGGCACCAAAGTTGTCACCAAGGTATTTCCTGGGCAGTACCACTGTTTGGATGCAGATTTTGAGTCTCAGCTCAAAACATCAACGCAGACCTTAAACRCGTGGGTTTGCTGTTGGTTTCTCTTGTGCTTGTACAGTATCTGTGTTGTCAGCAGAGCCCTGCCTATGGCTTGTGCTTAGGACAAGTTAACCTGTTTTGGCAGCTGGAAGTGGGATACCTTTGTCACTCCTTGATTTACTGGTGCAAAACGTGCTGGAGGTAAAGGTATGCCCTGGTGTCTATTACAGCTCTGGAGACATATTCCTTTTACTCCCAGGAGCTCTTTTGCATTTTATTTCATTTAACTCTTGGCATTACATGCCAAGTTTCCTCCATCCATAAACGAGATTTCACCCCCATCCCCCTCCCCCRTTGTGGTTCTGCTCGTATTTACTTCCCTTTCTTCTCCAATGCTGAGCAGAAGGGCTCAGCCCTGGTGCCAGTGGTGTTTCTATATTGTCTGTGCTCTGAATGCTTATGGTAAGCCTAGAGCAAATTCTGGGCTTGCAGCAGTGGGTCTCAGRGGGGAAAAATGCCCATGAGGAATTACTAAAGGAAAAAA